CCAGAACAGCCACCCCTGGAGGTTTGAGTGTATGCCCAGTCCTGAAGTCCAGGGCTCTGAACCCTGCCTCTGGCTGGGCTGCGGTTGCAAGGTTGCCAGGTGGCAGCACCAGCACGGTCCACGGGGCTGTGACCCCTACAAGTGCCTGTCCCTGGTGGGGTTTTGGTTGCTGGTCAGGGATGTGCTGGGCTGCTCCCACTGCCCAGGTAGGGGGTGTGGGCAAAGGAGAAGAGACCTGCCCCCAGGCTGGCTGCTTTCACCCCAAGCTACTGACTGCCAGACCCACAGAGCCACGGGGGGGGGGGGGGGGCGCTTCTCCCTCCCCTAGGGGTGTCTGTCCAGCTCCCCCGAGATAAGATCCCCAGGCAGCTTTACCCAGAGTTGCAAACAGTAGGGAGCCAAGCCAGAGCCCAGATGTTCCTCCAGTCAGCTTCCTGGGGTGAATTGAGCTGGACAAGGAGGAATTTGAGGGGGGCAGTGGGGAGAACAGGTGGAGACAGAGCTCTGGCTCTTGAGTGAGGCTACAAGTGTGATTATTGGAGACGACCCAGGGCTACGGGCTACAAGGAGATCCTGAGACCCTGAAGCTGGGAAGGTGGGTGAAGCCAGTGCCAGGGCCCTGCCCCCTCCTCAGCTGGAGCTGGGGGTGGAAAGGCAGGGCTGGATGGAGACAGTGTGCTGCTCACACCCCCGGGAGAGGCAAGCAGGATGGCTCTGCTGGCTGCCAGAGAACGAGCAGGAAAGGCTGGAAGTATGGGGAGACCAAGGGGGAACTTCCCAATGGAATGCATCTTGAGGGGCCAGCCCCTGGCTATCTGGCCAGGGCAGGGCCAGGGCCTACAGCTCCCTGAACCCCCAGAGAGCCAAGACGAGAATATGGTGGGTAGTGATGCCATGAGGCAGAGCTGGTAAGGGCATTTATCCCCCTAGGACTGGGGAGGTGGGGCACTTGTTTCCAGGGGCCAACTCTCCCTCGCCCTCTTCCTTGGCATCTGAGCAGGCAGCAACCCCTCCCAGATGGAGCAATGTGTACAGAGAGGTAGAATCGGAATAGTGAGCACTGAGTGTCAAGGGCCGAGGTGGTCCACCCTGAGCCCACCCCATCCAGTCTTTACAGGCCCAAGGGCAGACTGAGTCAGGGGAAGTGAGAGAACAAAGCATTAGGACTGGCCCAATGGTTACCCCAGGAGAGGCTGACCCTCAGACATCCCTGTCTCAGGGAGAAAGGCCATTCTTCCCCGCCTGGGCACAGCTCACTACAGCTCCATGGCCCTATCCTTCACCCAGCAGCTGCTTAGGCCACTGGCTTCCCCACCACTCAGGGTGTGTTAGTGTCCCCCCACCCCTACACAACCTCTGTCCTCCCCTAGCACCCGACCCTGAATCCTCTCACCCAGCTAGGGATTCCCAGACCAGGGTCAAGCTGGTTCTCCCCAACCCCAGCCTGGGCCTCACCATATCCCTTACATATGATCCAGATCCAGAGGAAGGCAGGCTGCCCTGCCCATTTTTCTGAAACATGAGGGGGCTCTCTCCCAGGCTGGGTCAGCTTACTCCAGCTGATTCCCTAGTGGGGGTCTGTGACCTCCCAGGGCACCAGGCACCCTGACAGCCATTAAAGACTCAAATACCACCCCCTGCTAGCGCCATCCAGTGCCAGAGGGCAGTAGTCACTGGCTTGGCCTTAGTCAGTGAGCACCAAGGCCTTGCTGGCTCCAACCCTGGCGCTGCCTGGAAGAAGGGGGCCTCCCTGAGCCAAGAGCTCCCTGAGCTTCTCCTTGGAAGAGGCCAGCACTTCTCCCTACCCAGATCCATCTGCTGCTGACACCTCCCCGGAGAGGTGAGCAGGACAAGCATGTTGTCCCCATTAGACAGAGGAGAAAACTGAGGCCTGGAGAAAGGAAGGTGGCAAGGCCAGGATAAAGACCTAGGACCCGACTCCCACTCCAGTGCTCCTTTCAGGTCTCAACTACCACCCTGGTGAAAGCCCACATGGGGGCAGGGTACCTATGCTCACCAAAGTGTCCTCTAGCTGCCCGGCCTCTCTGCTCCCCAAATCCTCAAGGCTCTGATGGCATTCCCAGGGACAGAGGGGCTAGGTTACTCCCAGGGGCACCTGAGCCAGGGCTTCCAGCCTTGGTTCCAAAGTGAGCATCTAAAGGGTTGCCTGGGCTGGCTGAAGGCTACGGGGATGAGAATGCAGAGGAGCAGCCAGCGGAGGTGAGAGGGGGTTCTCAAGCCCAGTGATGTATCTCTCTCCCCCTGCGACACCCCCTCCACCTCCTTGCATGCCCCCCACCCCCGCCCCTACAGTAAAGAAGGCCTCAGCATCAAAGTCCTAAAACAACCTCCTGGCATCACTCCCTGCCACAAATCCTCACAAGGCCTGTCACTGCTGTCCACGTGAAGTCTGATCTCCTTGGCCAGGCACACAAGGCCCTTTGCCAGTTGGTTTCTACCAGGGTTTATGGCCTCTTTGACCAACTTGCTTCACCGTGTCCCCAACATACTAACGACACCAAACTGTGTTCCCACCCTGGGGTGGAGCAGAGCACAGCTCAGAGGCCCACTCAGTGACTGGCTGTGGGTTGAATGGATACACACATACTCACACACGTCCCATGCACAGACATAGATGTGCATATAGATGCAGACACACACTTTTGTGTAGAAGCCCACCACCCAAGTGCACGTGGTTTTCTACCAAATCACACACACAATGGAGCTGTGAAATCTGAGCCAAGAAGGGACTGACAAATCTGTTTTATGGACCCATAGAGAGACCAAGCATGGTCATGTCAGCATCCCCAAGCCCTTGAGAGGCAGCAGGGAGGCAGGAGTGGATCCCCCGGCTCTGGCTGAGCCCTCGCTGGGTCCCAGGGTCTCTGAGCCCCAAAGGGTGGACAGAGGGTGGTCAAGTAGGTCCCAACCAAGTTCTCATCCTGATTCTGTGACTGACTTGCTGTGCAGCCCCAGACAAGCCACCTTCCCTCTCTGTTTCTCCAGCTATAAAACAAAGGCGTGTGGATTAGCTGACACCTAAAGCCTGTCCAGGCCCACTGCCCAGCTGCTCTCAGTTCATGCCAAGTACAGAGAATGGAGGGTGGCAGCAGTCAGTGAGGGCTGGGCACCCTACCTGGTGAAAGCCTCCAGCCAGGCCAGGGAAAGCTTCAGGGGGTGGAGATGAGGTGGGCACAAGGGCAGCAGAACCTGAGCCAGAAGAGACAGCCAAGAGCCACGGGAGGGGAGCACTTTAATGACCCATAGTCAACATTTATGGAGCAAATCACTGAACACTCACCTTGTAGGGTTTATCCAATATTTTCATCTAGATTGCAGCCAAATATATCCTTTCTCATCTCAGGGTACCAAATGAGAAAATGTAATGGGTTAGGCCCGATTCAGCCCCTGGCCTCCCAGCCCCCACAAAGGCACAGGGCAGGGCCAAGGTGGCACAGGGGGAGCCTCCAGCAGGACCCCATTCACACCCAAACCCCTCAGCTGCCGGTAAGCAGCCATGCGCACAATCAACAGCACATCCTGTGCTGAGTATCTACGTGTACATACACACGCATTCCCCCTCTCAGTATGCCAACACCAACATCTCACACGCACACCCAAGCACACACTGGGGACACAGCGGACAGGTCCTCTGCCACTCTCCCAGCCCTCCTATCCTGCTTTGCCTGGAACTTGACACCCAGTGCTAATACTCATGCTCCCAAGGGAAGGACTGAAGCAGGCTCAGGGCATATCTAGAGGTTGCCAGAGGAGCACTAGGACATAGGCACTACCATGTGGGGACAATATCCCCTACTATGACCTCTAGTCAGCAGAAAGTCTGTGCCAGGACAGAAGAAAAGGAAGTGGTGCCCCTGCATCACAGAGGGGTGCAAACTCCCCTCTTCCCTAAATCTCCCAGGCCCCCAGAGCCCTGCTCACCTTGCTCACCTCCCTCCCAATCCCCAGCCCGCTGAGTGGGAGCCACATCCCCAGGTCACGAACCGTCTGCAAGCTGTCCAGGGCCCAAGTAGGGAAGGGAGGCTCTTCTGAGGTGGAGGGCATGCCAGCCGTGGCCCAGAGCCCCTCACACCCTCAGAGAGGAGGGGGTGGCTGGGGTGAGGGAGGGGCCAGCAGGAGCAGCCCCAGGCCTCGCTGTTCTCTATGGCTTTTTATTCCTATGTGATTCTACTGGTCACTCATATAGGGATTGGAGCCGTGGCGCACGGCGGGGGTGGCCAGCGAGGGCTTGGATACTGAGCAAGGAGAGCCAGGACAGCGGCCCCTCTCTCTCCCAGAGCAGGCTCCTAGCCTGGACAAGGAGCCCCTCCTCCCCACTGGCCTCTTCCCTGGCCAGCTGTAACAGGGGGAGGGCAGGGAGGTTCTGGACCCCATCACTCCTCTGACCCACCATCCCAGCGCTGGAGACCTCCACTGCAACGCTCGTACCAGGAACCAGACTACATCCCCAGAGGAGATGCTGAAGGAACTGGGGGTGTTCAGTTTGGGAAAATGGTCCTGCCACAAGGAAACAAGGTCCAGCGTCCTGTGTAGCTAGGGGTAGCCCCAGGATAAATAGAGGGCAGCTCAACCAAGGAAGGATGCAGTCTATGGCTAAGGGCCGTCCAAAGGCAGAAGGGAGGGACGTCCTTGGTGGCAGGTAGTAAGCATATGCCCACCGAGGCATACAGCAGAGGCTGGAGAGGCCACAGCAGGGATGCCACAGGTGAGAATCAAAACTGAATGGGTGGCCAGTCCCTCCGGACCGCAGTCTTTCGGCCTCTCCTCCCTAGGGTTTCTGACCACCCACATCAAGCATGTTGGGAGCCCGGCTCAACCCTCCAAGGCTCCTGTGAAGTGAAACAAGTGCTGAGGGTGCCCTTCAGCGAGAGGTGTGGGGAACTCCTGTAGGGTCCTGGCACTAAGGCTACAGCCCAACCCCATTCCCCTTCCCAGCAGCTCCCTGCTAGGCTTTGCTCTGAGAGAAAAATGCACTGAGAACCCATAGTGTGGTCCTTTTTATTTTCAGTCCTTCTTGCTTCACACCACACAAAAAACAGGCTCAGAAGCTCAGCAGAGGGGCTGCCTGGGGCAGATGATCCAGAACAGTGAACAAGGGGCTCGTCTTGGTCCTCAGGTGCTGCCGCCATGGGAAAAGTAGAGGTGGAAGAGAGGCCCCACCTGCCAGTCTGGTTGGGGGAATAGACACGGAGCAGAGGCCCTGGGTGAGAGGTGTGAGGGCCAACCAAGCAGCCAGGGCCAAGGAGAGGAGGGGCCCTAAAGCCTGGTGAGGCCCTGGGGACCAACCCTGCTCTGCCCCAGGACACTGCTCTGTAGGCCTCCTCTGGACTCCCAAAACATGACCTATGCTGTCACCGTGGCCACAGGAATAGGATGTGGGCGTCCATGACATTGGTGCCAGTCAGCCCTGTATGTAGCAGGTGCGCCCCACCCCGGAAGTGGCTGAAGAAGGTATGTGAGTCATTGTGGGCTAGGAAGGTGGCCACATCCAGGCCCTCGGCAGTGGCCTGGCTGGCAAGCTCAGGCATGACCCAGGCGCCTGCTGCTTCTGTGGGCCCATCCTGCCCATCGGTGCCACCGCTCAAAAACAGCACGTCAATAGGCCCCAGTGGCCATTGTCCAAGCTCTGCTCCAACACGCAGGGCCAGTTCCTGGTTCCGGCCACCCTTCCCTGAGCCCTGCAACTGCACTGTGGGCTCACCACCAGCCAGCAGGCAGACAGGGCTCCCAGTCCCTGCCACAGCCTCCAGAGCCTCCTTCAGCTGCAGATCTGGGAGCTGGAGCTTGGCCGCCAGTTCATGGAGTTGTTCATCCTCCTCCATAAAGGTTCCAGCCCTAGGTGGGGTGAGGTGGGCTCCAGCCACTCGGGCCAGCAGCCCGTAGAACTGAGCCACACTTTTCACATTGCCCTGTATGGCTGTGCTCAGCACCACAGCCCGGTACCCCAGCGCCTCAGCCTGCCGCTGGGCCTCAGCCAGTGCCAGTGCATTGGAGCCAATGATCACATTGAGGACATGACCACAGCTGTGTGGCCCATGGGGGTCAGAGTCAGCCCGAGCCAGCACAGTTTTCACAGAACGTGGCAGGGCAGCACGAAGGCCATAGCGATTGAGGATGTGCAGGCAATCTTGCACGCTGTGGACGCTGGCCACAGTGGGTCCACTGGCGATCACCTCCACAGGGTCCCCCACCACATCTGACAGAATCAGGCTCACCACCTGGGGAGCAGTCACAGAGGCAAGGCTCAGTTCCACCTGGTCCTCACCCCAGAGCTCATGAAGACAAACTGGCCCCCATGTAACCACACACCCTCACACCGCCCAGTGCATTTCCTCACCTGTTTCTCACCACTCTCAAGCAGGTTTGCAGAACACCTGGATGCCCCTTCACCCTCTCTGATGCCCCTACCAGCCGACCCTGTGGACTCCTATACCAGGCCCCTGCCAACCTGTATGCTGTTTAGGCTTTTCTCTCCCTGGCACATATGGGCCTGGCTCCACCAGCCCAGGGCTGCCTGGGAAAGAAATGAACCACATACCTGGGCAGGGTAGGCAGCCTGAGCCAGCCCCCCACCCTTGAGCTGGGATAAGGCCTTCCGGATGGTGTTCAGCTCCTGGATAGTGGCTCCTCGGGCTGCCAGCAGCTTGGTGAGTGTCTGCTTCTCCTCCAGTGTGATGGGTGGGATGGGGGCAGGCAGCAGGGCTGAGCCCCCACCTACAGAGACAGTGAAGACATAGAGCAGAGGGGATGAGGTGGCCAAGGGACTTTCCCACCTAGGGAAGCAGTGCCCAGAGGCAAGGAAAGGGGTGCTGGAAAGGTGGGGTTAGGGTGCCCCCGTGTGGACATGCAGTGAATGTGTGTACAGTCGCCACACCCTGTGCACCTAAAGTTGTGCCTGGCTTAGGGTAGGCCAGGTCCTGGTAGGGACTGGAAGAACTATTCCTTAAGAGCTTGGAAAAGGGGGTAGACAAGGAGGAGACAGAGGAGGAACAAGGAAGGGGCTCCGTGGAGATCTGGGTTCTAGCCCCAGGTGACACTGGTGCAGATAGCAGCAATGGCAGTGACATTTTCATTGCGAGGTCTTGAGTTAGATGCTCCCTATGCACCCTCTCACGGTCACCCAACAAGGTCAGTCAAGGGGAGGACCCTACAGCTCAGAGGGGGCCAGACAACCGACCCAGGACCACCCAGAAGTCAACCATCTAGGTTCCTTACTGCCTCCCTTGTTCTGTGACCCCGGGGGCTCAGACCAACGGTCTCTCGCAGACCTATTTGAAACCCCCCTCCAAACTGTTGTGAGCCAGTCTGGCACCCACACCTGAGATGAACACGAGCAGCAGGTCATCAGCTGTGAGACCTTCAGCCAGCTGCCGGATGGCCAGTGCAGCCCGCAATGCATCACGGTCAGGCAAGTTGTCCTCCGCACCCTCGAATACTTGGACACGGCTGTGTGGCTTCAGCAGCATTTCCCTGAGGAGAGAGAGAACAGAGAGCAAGAGATGGGGTGGGCTCCCCTCTCACCTGATTTCCCAGCTGAACAGGTGAAGGGGGCCCACAAGGATGCCCACTGACACCCATCCATGAGCCAGGCCAGACCCAGAAGAAAAGGGAAGCTGGTGAGGGAGGGAGGCCCCAATCCAGCCTGAGTCTGGGCCCACATTCCCCTCTAGATGGACAGTGGGGAGCAGCCCCCCAAGGCTCCTTACTGCTTGCCAGCACGCTCCATGGCAGCACGGATCCCCTTGGGAACGCTGATCACACCCTGCACGAGATGCTGGCCCAGTAGCTCCTCGGCTGCAGCTGCCATGCCCAGTACAGCCTTGCCAAAGCCCACCAGGTAGAGGTTTTGCCGCAGCTGAAAGCTCCGGTCCCGCACCTTCAGCTGCCCACTGTCAAGGTCCAAGGACAGTGCCCGGTGCAGCATGGGGCCTGGCAGCACGGCACCCACAGCGCTCTCAAACAGCTGCCGTGCGTGCTCTGCCAGGGCCATGCCACTGGCCAGCCGGGCCACTGGGCCCCCCAAGAGAAGTGGGCGCAAGGGAGCTCGGGCCAAGCGAGGCAGGATCTGCAGGGCTGCAGCCATGCCCCACTGCTCTCAGCACCACCTGGCACCCATGGCTGTCTAGGGTGAAGAAAGCACTAGTGAGGCTGTTGCAAGGCCACAGACAGGAGGCCGCCCACAGCCACCCCTCTGAGGGCTCAGGGCCAGTGGACCCCACAGCTGCTCCTGCAAGAATGGGCTATCTGCCAGTCAAAGGAGACTTCCTGAGGCCCACAGCTGCCTGATCTCACTCCAGACCTCCGAGCCCAGGCCTGCCACCCAGCCATGTTGTCCTCTTCTGCAGGCCACAAGCCAGCCATCCGGACACTGTGCCCTGAGTCCAAAGGTCCTGTTAGCTGAGCCCTCCTCCTAGGTCACTCCCTTTGGCTGAGAGTTAATCATTCACGGAAGGAGCGGGTCCTATCAGTGGGCTCCCACCCACACTCTTTTCCACCCCCTGCACTTCTGAGCTCTCACCCAGGAGCAATGGCTCTTTCTGGCACTCCTTCCTTGCCTCTTTATCACTTCTGTTGCCAGAAGGCTGCTGGCTGTGCCACCAACTGACCCCAAGCCCAGTGACCTCCAGCCTGCTCTATTTCATTAGCTCATGGGTCTGGGCTGGGGAGCCTGGGGAGGCTAGGTCGGTGTGGAGAGGCTGTAGGCTCACTGGGGCACTAACAGGCAGGCCCAGACCACATCCTCAAGGTATACAACCTAAGAAATCCTAGCACTCAGGACCGGTTCCAGCAAGAGGTTCAGGTTCAAATCAGAAGTGGCAGCAAAGTCCGGCTCGTGGTGGGACCTTAGAGAAGTCCCTAGACAACACATGAGGCCATGTACCATGGGGCCAAATCTGCAGGACATAAAAGGATGCCCTTCCACCTACAAGGCTGGCCAGACCCACCCCTGCCAAGAACAGGCCTTTTGGCTGCAACATAAAAAGCTACATATTAGGTCACACCACCCACAGGGGTGAGAGCCAACTGGCTGGAGTAGGCAAAGGCCAGGCTCCCACAGCTGAAGCCAAATAGTCATTTTCCCCACCGGGCAGGGTAAAGACTACAGAAGCCTTGGGGTGACTGTCAGGAGGCTGTAGAGGTGTTTTAGGGACAATAAATCCCCAAAAAGCTCATCTCTAAAAAGGTATCTACTTTAATAAAGATCCACCATAAATACTGCCAGCTGACTGCAGCAGCGAGGGTGGACAGAGCAGGGGAAGGAGACTGGGAATCAGGCTCCAGCTCTACCACAGGGACACCTCCATTTCTTTCACTGCAAAACAAGAGGTGGGATGAGATTAAAACTAATGATCTCCCCTTGACATCCTGGGGCTCTCTGACGCTGCCCACTGTTAACACATAAACCTGGACCCCAAACACCACTTATCCCACACTCAAAAAACCTGGCAAGGGGGCCAGCCTGGAGACATAGTAGGTAAGTCCAGCCTGCTCCGCTTCTGCCCAGGGTTAGTGATTGGGATCTCCAGCATGGACCTACACCACTCGTCAAGCCATGCTGTGGCAGCAACCCACAGAAAAAATAGAGGAAGACTGGCACAGATGTTAGCTCAGGGCTAATTTTCCTCAAGCAAAAAACCAGGAAGATTGGCAACAGATGTTAGCTCAGAGCCACTCTTCCTCACCAAACTAAAAAAAACTGGCAACTTCTAGCCATTGGCCACTTAGCCTAATGGTCCTCAGCTTTCCCCTAACAGAAGACCAACCCTGCCCAACTCCAACTGTGAAACGGAACACAGATGGGGCCGCCATGGGAACCCTGAAAACGGGCCCAGCTTTTGCCAGGGGGCCCCCGAGGCTGGCCCATTAGGCTTGGAGCTAAAAGCGGCTTAGCAGCTAGCAATAGCTGATTCTGACAGCTTACACAAACTTTGTACCTGTTTCCTAGTTGGACACAGTCCTAGACGATCCTAGCCTTGCTACTGGATACCAGAGCCCAGGACAGGGGGACCTTCTGGCTAAAGTTGCCAGATAAAATACAGGACGTCCAGTTAACCTAGAATTTCAGGGGCCAGCCCTGTGGCTTAGTGGTTAAGTGCACGTGCTCCGCTGCTGGCGGCCCAGGTTCGGATCCCAGCGCCCACCGACACACCACTTCTCTGGCCATGCTGAGGCCACGTCCCACATACAGCAACTAGAAGGCTGTGCAGCTATGACATACAACTATCTACTGGGGCTTTGGGGGAAAAAAAAAAAAAAAAAAAATTAAAAAAAAAAAAAAAAATTTCAGACCCAACAAGGAATCTTTTTAACATAAGTATGTTCCACACAATATTTTGAACACACCTACACTAAAAAATTGTTTTTTATCTGAAATATCAATTTAACTCGACATCTTGTATTTGTATTCGCTAAATCCAGCAACTATACTCAGCACACGGTCTCCCTTAAAACCCCCGCGCTCCAGCGCGAAACCCGGAAATACGGAGAAGACCCTCCTTGACTGGCCCCGCCCCGCCACCAAATGGGACCAGAGCCATTTCCGGCCCTCGCTGCCCCCACAGGCCCCGGAAGTGACGCCGTCCTCAGGCGGGGCCTTAGGCCTTCGCGAAGGAAATAGCTACCGCGTAATATCCGGTGATGACCCGGGAAATATGGGCCCGCTGCCCCCTGGACCCGCCGTCGCCTGGCCCAAGGACTGCTTCTGCAGGCCGTCCCGGCGCGGACTTACCGCCCTGCGGCTCCGGGGCGCGGCTTCCAGCGCGGGGAACCGGAAGTACTCGTGGGTGGGCGGAGCGGAATCCGGAAGTGTGGGGTGGCTGGGTGGGTGCAGCGGGGTTGGGATGGCAGGTGCGAGCTGTAGTGGCGGGGGCCCGGGGTAGCGGGAACGCGTACGAGAGCATTGGCTCCGCCCTGACCGTCAAGAGACCTGGTTGGAGGTACCTTCAGGCCTCGGTTTTTTCATCCCTACAATGGGGGTAATAACCCTCAACTCACCATTGGTATAATCCGTTCCTTCCTTTATCCGGTATGATCCAATCAGTCAGCAAATACATTCCGAGCTCCTATTTGGTGCCAGGCAGTGGGCTGAGCAAAGGGACTGAGAATCACTGCTTCCCCACAAGTCACTGTTTCTGGAGCCAGATTAAGTCATCCCCGCCCCTCCCCACCGCTATAATCCCACAACTCATCGGTGCTCCCCTTTCTCCCGCTTGGGCAACCAAATAACAGCTCTGAAGCACCAAGAGAGTTCTATTCCGTCATCCGCTAACTCACAAGCTGCGAGCAAACACGAATGACCCTGGGCCTCCCTCACTGTCCCCGCGCTCACCCTGTGCCCACCCTGAGCCCGACTTGATGCCTTCCCACATTCAAAAGACAAGTCCTGACTACACTCCAAAGACACAGAAGAGTACACTGTTTTTACTGATATTTTCTTGGGGAGATGGGGGAGGGAGTTACATCACAAATCACACAGCAGACTTCCTAAAAATCTTAAAACATATTATCCCACTCGCTCCGTTAGGCAGCTGCCACGTCTCTCCATAGGTCTCCAAACCATGTTCTGCTCTTGTCATGAACTCCTCCTCCCATCTTCCTAGTTGTCTCCCTGGATTTTTCTTTGCCTTTGTAATAGAGGACCTTTTATTCCCTGTCAGTCTCTCCCAAACGCTTCCTTGCCCATCATCAAAACAAAAGGATCTGCCCTCTTCTGGAGGATCTGCCCTCTTCAGATGTGGGGAGATTGTAAATATTAAAAATTTCAGTTTTTTCTTGCTTATAGTGAGCTGTCTTCATCCATCCATGCATTTATTCATTCCTCCATCATTCCACGGACATTTCCTGAGTGTCTTCTATGTGGGCCAAATGCTGTAGCTGCTTGGATGAGTAAGAAGTGGTACTTGTAGTTGGGAAACTTACTCTGCTTTTATAATTCCATTCCCACACTGCGGGGGGAGTGTAAATTTGAGCACTCCTCTCATTATTTAGTGCCAGAGACTCATAAACAGACACCCATTTACTGTGCCAGTGCTGTTATGTCAGACTGTAAGCAGGAGACTAATTATACCCTTTTTTTTAATCCCCCATCCCACCCCACAGCTACTCACAAGATGCATCTAACAACAGCAAGGTTTAGATGCGCACTGGACTGTGAGCTCCTGGAAGGTGGCGATTTGGTCTACTTCATATTTGTATTTCTTTTTTTTTTTTATAATTTATTTTTTCCCCCAAAGCCCCAGTAGATAGTTGTATGTCATAGCTGTACATCCTTCTAGTTGCTGTATGTGGTACGCGGCCTCAGCATGGCCGGACAAGCGGTGCATCAGTGTGCGCCCGGGATCCGAACCCCGGGCTGCCAGCAGCGGAGTGCGCGCACTTAACCGCTAAGCCACGGGGCCAGCCCTATATTTGTATTTCTACTGCCTTGCAGAGGACCAGGCACAAATAGAAGCTGGAATTTCCTTTTTCTTGCCTCCCTCCCTTCCTCCCTCCCTCCCTTCCTTCCTCTTTTCTTTTTTATTGATTTAACAAAAGAACACTGAAGTGCTCAGCTGCACAGTGCTGCAGACCCTAGGTGGAAAGGATTTCGCAAAAGGAAAAGAGATGGTGGTGTGTGGAAGTAGAAGGCTTCCTAAAGCAGTGGGATTTAGGTCTAAGAAAATAAGCTCATCATAATGCTTATACATACCTTGATAGTAGGCATGAATATGTCTATAGTCGTTTTAAGTGCACTTTGGCAATAAATATCAATGTCAAAAATGTGACAGGCAATTTCAGTCCAAGGAGATAATTGGATATATGGACAAAGATGGTGTAGGGGAGGAAAAAACTTTTCCCTCTATTCTCTTAGGTTCAATGGCTGAGGCCCTACAAATTAAACTGACAAAAGACAGATTAACAGGAGAAAAAGGTTTATTTCATATGCATATGGGGAGCCTCACAGAAATGAAGTGAAAACCCCAAAGAAGCCATTAGACCTGAGACTTATATACCATTTTTAACAAAGAGCAATAAATTTTGGACATGTGACAAGACAAAAGGAGTTTGAGGTTCTTGGGGCAGTAAATTGTGGGAAAGTAAATATGGGGGAAAACTAATGGAAGATAAGGATTGCTGCGGTAAGATTCGTTTGTACAGATTCATCTCAGTTTTGGCTCCCCATCTTCTGGTACAGGGAGGGCACCTTTCTCACGGGAAATTTATGCCCTGCTTTTAGTAGAAAAGAAGAGGGCAGGGAGCCATTCCTACATCTGCTGTTTCTCAAATGCCTTCAGCTCAAAATAATCCAGATGCCAAAGTGGCATATTTTGAGGTGGCGTGTTCTGATCCCCTTCAATGGACATGAGGAGATATTCAGCCCAGAGATTTTATGAGTATAAAGCAATCTAAATATCCATTGATAAGAGAATTTATATAAATAAGTTATAGTACTTCTAAGCAGACATTAAAAATAACATTCTAGGGCCAGCCCCGTGGCTTAGTGGTTAAGTGCGTGCACTCCGCTGCTGGCGGCCGGGGTTCGGATCCCAGGCGCGTACCAACGCACTGCTTCTCCCGCCATGCTGGGGCCGCGTCCCACATACAGCAACTAGAAGAATGTGCAACTATGACATACAACTATCTACTGGGGCTTTGGGGGAAAAAAAGGAAGATTGGCAATAGATCTTAGCTCAGAGCCGGTCTTCCTCAGCAAAAAAAGAGGAGGATTAGCACGGATGTGGGCTGATCTTCCTCACACACACACAAAAAAACATTCTAATATTTCTTTGTGTTTTTTTTGGTGAGGAGGATTGTCTCTGAGCTAACATCTGTGCCGATCTTCCTCTGTTTTGTATATGGGCTGCCACCACAGCATGGCTTGATGAGCAGTGTGTAGGTCTGCACCCAGGATCCGAACCTGCGAACCCCAGGCTGCTGAAGCGGAAACCTCAGGCCACTGAAGCAGAAACCCCTGGCCGCCGAAGCAGAGCGCGCGAATTTAACCACTATGCCACCGGGCCAGCCCCCTAAAACAACTTTTGAAAAGGCCATTTAAGTAGGATATAAGCCTTCCCAGTATTCAAGCAAGCTGAAGGAAAGAAGACAGTGGATTGGAGTACGTTACTCATACCGTATTGGGGGAGGCTTTACTGAATTTATTCATGGTGGTTAAGCTTTAATTTAAATGTTCCCTTTTAGAGCAAAGGAGGAGGTCGTTCCCAGGCGATGTTGGGTAGTCACTGACCAGGGAAAGGTGGCAATAGTGGCATCCATCTCTACTAAGTGTACTGAATCTGGGGACTTCATCATGGATAAAGTACTTGGTCCCTGTAACTATGAAATTTTCCACCCCACACACAAGCTGAAGGAAGTCATCAGGGGTAGTGAATGGTGCAAATTTGGGAGAATAATGCTCAGTCTTGGGCTTTCTGACCTGCAA